GTATTAGCCAGAATGTCAATGAACTAATTTAGAGTGGAGGCTAGCCCTTTCCAGTGACCAGAATATTTGTGCCACGTTCTGTGCTAAGAATTTGAAACACATTATTATATTCCTCATAATGGTCCCAAGAGATAGATGCTATGATTCTCCATTTTAAAGATTAGGAAACAGGCCTCTATTAAGCATCTCTTCTAAGGGCATAGTACAACTTAGCCACTATATTAATAAATGTTTTGGATCTTTGTTTGAAGCTGTTTTTCATTTGTAATTTGGCACCTATTTCATACGGTTATTGTATGGAAAGCAAACACACGTAAAGGACTTAGTTTCCTTCTCCTTTGACAAATAATCTTACCTATATTTTTCATGATTTAGAAGGACACCAAAAACTTCTGAATGTAGTGATGAAATGAAGTAAAAATACTACAATTTCTTCAAACAATGTATTGGGCTTATTTTTAAAGCCCTTAGGTGTAAAATATAAAATGACAGATACATATTATTTCTTCTGCATGATTCTTTTTAAAGTGAATAGAGTATTTGCTAATTCATTCATTCACTCATTCCAAAAATATTATTTATTTGTAACAGGTGACACAATGTTAAGACCTGGTTATATGTGATAATGCATAAAACAATTTTGGTTTCTGTATTCATGAAGCTTACTGTCTAGTGAAGGAAGAGGTCAGGAAACAAGTATGTAATTAAAAATTCTACAAAGGAAGTGAATAGGTGCAATAATAAAGACAACTTAGATGTGTAAAATACCAGATTTTTTTCAATGTCTAATTACAGTTGATCCTTGAACATGGGTTTGAAATGCATGAGTCTACTAATATGCAGATTTTTTGATATACAGTACAATAAACATATTTTCCTCATGATTTTCTTAACATTTTCTCTAGCTTATTATAACAGTATAGTATATAATACATATAACATACAAAATACATGTTAATCAACTGTTAATGGTAAGGCTTCCAGTCAATAGTAGGCTATGAATTTTGGGGGGAATCAAAGTTATATATGGTTTTTTGACTGTGTAGGGGGTTAGTGCCCCTAACCCCTCCATTGCTCAAGGTTCAACTATAATTAAACAATGAATGCACTTCTGTCTTATCCTGTCTTATCCTGTTCATAAATTCTCCCCAAACCTAAATTAAGGAAGATTTGCTTGAAATTTACATTAATAGTTTTATAGCTCTAATATGTTAATAAATCACATAGCTTTTTTTGTTTTACTTTATTTGGGAAGACAATGAATACATGTTAAGTGGTAATAACATCAGTGGGCTCCATGGGCACATCAAAAGTCCAGGGTGCTAAATCAATAAATATAGAACCAGACACTTGGTCACTGGCTGTTGGAGGAGCCTGGGCCATGTTGCTGGGCTGTGATGTTCTGTAATCTTAAAATGCAAAACCAGTTATTTTGATGTGACCTGTATCGGTGACTTCTCAGTGCTCTCAAAGTACAAGTGGTTAAAGAAACATCCCAGCACGCAACCATGTCAAATCAGTACCAATAATACCTTCAAAGTTAAAAGACCTATCAAAACAACTTGTAATGAGACCTGACTTAGCTGCCCCTTCCCCTGCCTTTCCTTCCCTATCCATTCTTAAATCCTTCCAACAAAAGCCTCACCTCTGCCTGATAAAACAGAAACTCAGCCAGTCCCAAGACCGTTCATTCCATCTGCAGCAACGCTGTTCTAAACTTATGTCACCTACATAGAAAATAATGGGGAGTGAAATGGCTTAGTATAGCAACACCCAAAGTGTATTCTCTTCCATTACATACTCCGAGACAAAAGGTTCCCATAAGTTTGAAAACCTGTTCCACATTCGCCTTTTGGAGCTTCACAATATATAGCAGCATAGTAAAGGCTCCTTAAAGCCTTAATATTAGAAAACCTGTTTAATCCAGTGTTTGCCACACTTATTTGGCAACAGAATCTTTTTGTAACTTAAAAAAATTGTCTTAATTATGGTGAATTATATATGACATAAAACATACCATTATGGTGAATTATATATGACATAAAACATACCATTTTAACCATTTTAAGTGTATATATCCAGTGGCATTAATTACATTCACAATGTTCAACTATCACTGCTACTGCCAAAACTTTTCCATCACCCCAGGTACAGGAAATCTGTACCTATTAAAGAAAAGTCCCTATTCCTCTCTGACCCCTAGTCCCTAGTAACCTCTGTTATACTTTCTGACTTTATGAATTTGCCTATTCTGGATTTCCTTATAAGTAGAGTCCTGCAACATTTGTCCTTTTATGTCTGGCTTATTCAACTTGGTATGTTTTCAAGTTTCATCCACGGCATAGTACTTATCAGAACTTAATTCCTTTTCATGGCTGAATAATGTTCAATTGTATGTACATATTTTTGTTACTTTTGAGAAATGCAGTGTAGAAATGCTGATAATGAAATGAGTAGAGCCTTTAATGTCAGTACCATGATTCCAGCACATTCTAGCTGTGTGACCTTGGACAAGACATTTCACTTTTGTGAGCCTCACTTTACTTAAAAGAGAATAATGTATTCATCAGTGAGGTTTTCTAAGGATTAACTAAGATAACTCATATATATTTCCTATATCTTGGTATATTGCCCGATGAATATTCTTTTCTCCCTTATATTGGCAGAAAAGAAAGATACAACAGATGATCAATTTCTGTAACAGTGGTAACCCATAGTTGTCTATGGGGTTCTACCCCTGCAAACAGTCTCCAGTGCTCCCAGTACTTAACCCACTAGCCACTGGCCACTTGAAATGTGGCTACCGCAGCTGAGGAACTGAATATTTAATTTTAGTTCATTTAAATCTGAATAACCAGATGTAGTTAGTGGCTTCCAAATTGGCCAGCACAAGTCTGGACAAGAGCAGTGGTTCTCAATTCTAGTTTTATAATGGGATTATCTGGAAAACTTTAGAATACACCATTAATTACGTAAGTACAGAGCTAGACAGTGACATAACTTTTTGCCAGGGATGATTCTCTTCCTCCATGTTTCTGCTTTAGCCAACACCTAAAACTTTAATAAGTAAGCAGCTATTCACCAACCCCTCCAGTTTACATATATGCTTCCCTCTCTTTTATACCTTTTATTTCCATCTGTGTCTACACAAAGCATAGTGCTAGATCTAAAGGAGGGAAGATGGATTGGAAAGTCTTTCATTTTTATCCTGGGAAGCCAAGCAAATGTTTAGGAGTCCTTACCCTGAGGTTGCTTCTACTCATAGTTTAAATGGGCAGCAGACAGACCCTTACTAATAATTTCCTTTAATCAGATTCCTGCCTCCAAAACACTGTATATAGTCCTAATGAAGCAACTTAAAATGACACATTTCATCATTTTGTTTTTTAGATTTTCTTGTTCCATTTAGGATATCCAGGTTATCCACTGCATATGACATCTGTCAAAGTAAACCAATGGTTTGCAAGAAATCAACCGATTTCTCTATTTGTTTTTAAAAAGCATCTTAAATTTCAAGCAAGTTTTAATTTCAAAACACATCTTTCTTTATAGGCCACTTAGAAGTTCTTCTATAACTCAAGATGAATTGTTAAGGAAATAAGAAATGACTAAGTAATTTCATAGAAAAAGAACCAAAAACTACAGAATTTCTACTCCTCACTCTTACTACTAACCAATCATGTAGCCTGTGCTTTAAATTGAAAGGAACTTTTTAAACCCACGATCAGTTTTCAGTCAGAGTGTCAGGTTGGCATGAGGAAAGAGGTAGCTGATGTTATCTTTCTTCTCTACCATTAAAACAATCCCTTTGTAGGATATTTGAACCCTTGGCAATATCTTACAAGATCTCAGTTTCAGCATAGTAAGGACTCCTGAATGGAGGATCTAGATGTCTGCACTACTGGTAAAGAACAGGCTGCAAAATGGTCAGAATAATGGGAGATACCAATCCTGACATCACAGAGGTGTAGGGCTTTCAAATGTATCTTGGTAATGAACTTAGAGCCTTGGGTCATAGAGGCTCCGGCCATGCCATGTGTTTTGTGGGAATAACAAACCTGCATAGACCAAAAAGGTGATGATTGCTGCCAGCAGGTGGATACGAAGCTTGTTTCGGACCTCCTGGGAGTGCAGCAAAGCGCTGTGGAAAATAAAGGAGCAGATGGCCTCTGTGATGATCGCTTTGGGCAAGTCCACTTGAATGGGATTCCTGCAAGCAAAGGTCCTCTCGCCGAGGTGATACTTGGTCAGCCCCAGACTCCACAGAATGCTTACGCAGGACCTGCTGCACAGGGCACCAATCAGCTGAGCCAGCAGTCTAACCGCACCCGTCTCGGGGGACATTCCCCCCAGCAACATCTGCATCATCACGCCGCACGGGTTGCTAGAGGTGCCCACCAGAGTCAGGCCATGCACCAACGAGAAGAAGTAGACTAGCGTCAGCGGCCAGGTGGAATGCGCGGGTTCCTGCTCGCTCAGCAGTTGCAGCTCATGGGTGCAGCAGCAGAGCTGGAAGGTGGCCAGAAACTCCAAGACGAAGGCGTGGGTCATCGTGAACCTGTGCAGCTGCTGCTGGGTGACCACGCGGGCCAGCCCCATGAACAACACGAGCAACAGCATAAACCCCAGCGAGGTGCAGCTGTCCTGCACCTCGGGCCAGAGGCCCCGCAGCGCGGTCATGGCTAGCTCCCGGACAGACTAGGCTGCCTGCTAGGCTCAGGCAAAGGCAGTTTAGGGGCGGGAGTCCGAAGTCCTCAAGTCCTCAGCCCCGCCCCCTCCTCACGCCCCTGGGGCGGACCGACTGGGCCAGAAGGAGGCCCCTGGGCGTCGCGCTGGAGGACTCCTCCCTCCTCCCCGGCTCGGAGCTGCGGTGTTGGGACCTGGGCCGGGGAGGAGGGGGGAGGTAGGGCGGCAAGGGAAGTCCTCCTAAGGCACTGGCTGAAGGGCCAACGGTCACTGGGAGACCGAAGCGCTCACATCCCCGCTGCCTTCTAGGGCGCGAGTCCGGCAGGGTGCGAAGCGACGCCGCGCGCTGGGGTCATTGCGCATGCGCGCGGGGGCCCGTGAGCCCTTGCGAGCAGCCGCACCCGGGACCCCAGGACCCCGGCCGGCGGTGAGGCACTTTCGCTCCGCATGGAATGGAAACGCACCCATTCGCTGCGATTTGACACTCGCGTTGAAGGGAAGACCTTGGTTTTCCTTCCTCTCTCCTAAACCGGTAAAACCGTCCGGCTGGGATGACTCCTAGAAATCGTCTCCGCCAACCACCTCGTTTTTATTAGTGATGCGACTGAGAAGACGGGAGGTGACAGAGGTGGAGCACAGAGGCTAAGGGTGGTTAGCGGGAGTAGACTTTGGAATCTAGGGAACGGGCTTTGACCTGTGTGGACATGGGCATGCAACTGGGTTTCCTTGAGCCTTAGTTTTCCTCACCTACCTCATAGGGTTGTGGGTCATAGGACCTATCTCATCAATTTGTTTGAAAAAGCATGAAGGGGCGCCTGAGTGGCTCAGTGGGTTGAACACTGGACTCTTGATTTTGGCTCAGGTCATGATCCTAGCGTTTTGGGGTCAAGCCCCAAGCCTGCTTAGGATTCTCTCTTTTTCTGCCCCTCTTCCCTGCGCACTCTTTCTCGCTCTCTTTATCTCAAATAATAAAATAGAAAACATTTCATAAAATAAAATGAAAACACAAGCAAAGAGAACCTAGCCCGTAGAGAGTGTTCAATAAGTGCTAGCTTAAAGTCTGATAATGCCAGAGTCCGGGGGTCTTGCCACCGCAGCCCAGTCGCAACAGCGGCCCACTGTGAGTGAGCTGGGGGAGAACGTCAGGGAATCCTACCACCTCGCACCTAGTCTGATATTGTTTTTGTTTTTGTTTTTTTTTAATTTTTTAAAATGCTTTGTTTACTTCTGAGAGAGAGGCAGCGTGAGCAGGGAGGGTCAGAGAGAGAGGGAGACAAAGAATCCGAAACAGGCTCCAGGCTCTGAGCTAGCTGTCAGCACAGAGCCTGACGCGGGGCTCGAACCCACGAACCATGAGATCAGGACCTGAGCCAAAGTTGGATGCTTAACCGACTGAGCTACCCAGGCCCCCCACCCCTAGTCTGGTTTTGAGCTGTGCCACAGGTGGCAGAGTTGGCGGGGGCCCGGGGAGGGAGGGGTGGAATGCAAGAAAGATGGGAAGCTGGCTCAGATGCCTCAGCCCTCTCCCACCTCAGTCTTGCTGCCACCGTGCTCTTTTGACGAGAAAGAGTCCACATCCTTAGGAGATAGGAACAAAAATTAGAGGAATAATTAGCCTGAGCTTCAAGTGATAGCACTTGGCAGGTGTTTTTAATGAATCTCTTCATCTTTCCTCGCTTTTCTCAACTTGTCCCTTTTCTTTACTCTTTTTCTTTTTCTTTTTTTCTATTTTGAGACAGAGAGAGCCAACGAGCACCAGCAGGGGAGAGGGGCAGAGGGAGAGAGCGAGAGCAAGTGAGGGGGAGACTCCTAAGCAGGCTCCACATTCAGTGCGTGGACTACTGCGGGGCTTGATCCAGGACCTAGGAGATCATGACCTGAGCCAAACTCAAGAGCCGGAAGCTCAACCTACTGAACCACTCAGGCGGCCCCTCGTCTTGTCCTTTTATAACTAATGGAAGTTCTCTTTATAACTCCAAATTTTCTGTGGTGCCGAGAGACATTCTCTGAATTAAAAAATAAGTACTGGGGGTGCCTGGCAGGTTCAGTCAGTTGAGCGTTGGACTTTGGCTCAGGTCATGATCTCGGGGTTTGTGAGTTTGAGCCTCCCATGGGGCTTGCTGCTGTCAGCACAGAGCCCACTTGGGATCCTCTGCCCCCCTCTCAAAAATAAACATTAAAATAATAATAAAAATAAATACTTGCACAAAACACACAAACTTTGTAGAGAAATGAAGACTTTCCTTTTTCCTGTATTGGTGCCTGATGAAGAATTTAGAGTAAATTAAAACTAGTCACTGCTGTCCAAAGAGGTTGCTTTTCAATCAATCCTGTGAGTATAACCTTTCATTGCTCCCCTTTACTAAAAAGCCACTTGAGAATGTGACTGTATTTTGTTTACTGCTCTGCTAATAATTCACTTTCATTAGCAGGAGCCATGTAGAAAACTCAGTCTTTTGAACTTTGATTAGAAAATTTAATCTTATATATTGTCATTAAAGACTTTGGGCATTTTTTCAATTAGAGAACAAGGGCAGAAGAAAACCAATTAATTACTTGTAATTGAGTATTTCATATCACATAAATCAATCTCTATTTTCAGAAACAAAAAAATCACTACTTAAATTACCCTAATTCCTTCAGCAAAAACGTTTGTTGATATGGGTGACACAGCTGCATCTTGCAAACCCAGATCTTAAAATTCCATTTCCCAAGACCAGTATCTTTGTGAGAAAGAAGGACTCTTATGTGGGTTGAGAATATAAGAGTCTGGCTTCCCGTGCAACTTTGGCTCAATTTTAACCACTTTGCTTCTAGGTGTTATGGAAGTATTCTGGCCAGGAAAAAATACAAATTTATTTTAGAGTGATCAAATAGTTACTAAGAGAAAATTCTTCTTTACAGAGGATATTCAGTTGATAAAAGCAGAAGAATGATGGATTTGGAAAATCACAAATTTGCATCCCCTAATAAATCTTAATAAAGCTGCACAATTCATGTATATAAGAAAGTGGAAGACTAATGGTGAATTTATAAACCAACTGACCAATCTTAGCACCACTCAAGGTGGAGGAACTATATGTTCTATACCTCAAGTGCAGAAAAACACTTATGCAACAGTTTGCCTAAAAAAAATAAAGAAGCTATATCTAATCAAACATTTAAATGTAACTACCAGTTTACAGGAAATGCAAGGGTTAGAGGAACAAGCTAAATGACACCACATAGGGGCGCTGGGTGGCTTAGTCGGTTAAGTGTCCGACTTTCGCTTAGATCATGATCTCACTGTTCGTGGGTTCAAGCCCCGTGTCGGGCTCTGTGCTGACTGCCAGCTCAGAGCCTGGAGCCTGTTTAAGTCTGTGACTCCCTCTCTCTGACCCTCCGCAGCTCACGCTGTCTCTCTCTCTCTCCTAGAAATAAATAAAAAACATTAAAAAAATATATATTTTAAATGACACCACATAGAAGCAATCAGCCAAATCAAGAATGTGGGACATTCTACAGAACAAATGATTTGGCTTTCCAACCAATCAATAACTGTCAGCTAGGAGGGTCTAGACCTCTGGTCGAGGTCTTGGTTTCTAATTACATTCTCTAATAAAATTTAAATTCTCTAAAATTACATTCTCTAATTACATTACCCGGGCTCCTTGGAGAAAAACCTGATCCATGGACTGGGTTGTGAAACACAGAGGGTGAGCCTGTAATATCTTGCATGCCAGAAAGTAAGGAAGTCCTAAAACAAACAAACAAACAAAACCAATAAAAATTAAAAAGACACAGGAAACAACTGAAAGCTGGCCAAAACTAGATAGTTTGAACAAGATAAAGTAGTATTGGATTATAACTCAAAGTATAAATGAAATATCCAGGAAGCCATACTTATATACATAAATAATTGAATAAGGAATCTGAGCATAGCTCTTTGCTTGTAAGTGTGAAGTATGCATATTGACTTACTTTCAAAGAGAATATTATGGAAAGGTGTGGTGGTGGGAGAAAGATGAGAAAGAGAAACTTTGCAATGGAGAAACCTGATGAACAGTACCTCAGCTAAAGGATCATGGTTAACATCAACAGTAATGTCATGTTGACAGTATTACCCTTGATAGGATGTAATGAGAATGGCACATCTGGTTTTCCTTTCCAAAACACATAACCCCAATATAATCATGAGGAAAACATCAGAGAAATCCCAACTGAGGGATATTCCACAAAATGTCCCTACCAGTGTCCCTCAAATTGCTGAAGTCATAAAAAGAGAAGTCTGAGAAACTGTCATAGCCAAGAGGAGCCTAAAGAGATATGATGACTAAATGTAATGTATTGTATCGGGACTCCTGGCTGGCTCAGTTGGAGGAGCATGCAACTCTTGATCTTGGGGTTGTGAGTTTGAGCCCCATGTTGGGAGTAGAGATTAGTTAAATAAATGCACTTAAAAAATAATAAATATGGGTGCCTGGCTGCCTTAGTTTGTAAAGCACCTGACTCTTGATCTCAGGGCTGTGAGTTCAACCCCTACACTGGGCATGGAGCATGCTTAAAAAAATCTTTAATGTCTAAATAAATAAACAAATGTAGTGTCTTGGATGGGCTCTTTGGACAGCTAAATAACATTTGGACTTCAGTTAAAAGTAACATATTAATATTGGTTCATTACATATGATATGTTTCATACTAACGTAAGGTGTTAATAATAGGAAAAACTGTGGAGTGCCTGGGTGGCTCATTTAATTAAGTGTTGGACTCTTGATCTCAGCTCAGGTCATGATATCACAGTTGTGAGACTGAGCCCTGCCTGCATCGGGCTCTGCACTGACAGTGACAGCATGGAGCTTGCTTAGTATTCTCTCTCTCTCCCTTTCTCTCTTCCCTTCCCTTGCTCTCTCTCTCTCTTAAAAATAAGTAAATAAACATAAAAAACAAGTGAACAAAAAAACAATAATATGGAAAACTGTGTGGGGCATATAACTTTTTGTGGTTGCAACTTTTCTATAAATCTACAACTATTTTTTTAATATATAACTAAAATTAACAGTTTGCTAAAAATAAAATAATATCACATACATAGCATAGGAATTGCTGTTAATTTTTTTAAAATTAGAATTGGAACACCAGGTGGTTTTTAACAGAGTCTGAGTTGGCACTAGTGATTCTGGCAATGACAAGAGATGGTGATAATCACAACTGTTTAGGAAAAAAAGCTTCGGCACAGGATATCAGTAACCTTAGGGCAGGTTCCTGTGGGCAGGAGCAACTGCTGAGTTTTTGGGCAGCTATCAGAGGCCTATCTGCCCTTTAAGACTCAACAGAACAAGATGGGTTTCTACAGAGCCAGAGCTGGGGCAGGCAGGAGGAAAATGGCAGTGAGGACAACTGTTCTGCAGGGGTACCTGGGACTTCATAAAACCATCTGGGAGAAAATAAGGAAGTCTGGCTTTCCCGCGGAAGGAATGGAAGCAGAACTAATGAATTTCTGGTTTTGCAACGTTTGTTGCAGCCCTTTATTTACTGTGAAGGATGCTGTTGCCTGAAAAACAGGTCTACAAACTAAGAGGACTTATTGTTAAGGTATCTCTGATGCTCTGTATAATCTCTTAAATATAAAAATCTGTAAAACATGCATGCACACACACACACACACTCCAAATGCAGTTTAACTGTATTTTTTTTAATGTAAAAGTTAAAACTAAGTACACAGATGCCAGAAGTCCCTTTCATTATACCTAATCTATTAGAAATACAAACCTCAACCAACTGGTTTTTCAACTTCCTTTTGTCTTTAATGATGGGACTCGTGGTTTTGAATGTATGCCTAAATTTCTGTTTTTGAATTTAACCAGACAAACCTGATTCTTGCCAGGTTTATCAACTCTTTGGATTCTAGGTATGGAGCTACCTCTTTCTGAATTTCAGTCCACCTAACTTCCTTTTCACTGTTCTGTTTCTGACACTCAACTGGCTATTTCGTCTTTACGCAGCCTTTCTTATAGTGTGTATTTTGACTGGCTCTTTTATGTTAAAAGTGAGATTTGCATTTTTTAGTAGGATAGCTCTTCCCATATCCCTAAATACAGAACAAAATCTAGCTGGATCTCTCGAGAGACACCCTAACCCCAGAACAAGACTTGTTCAATAAAGATTATGGACAGAATGGGTAATAGGCTTTTTATCACCGTGGAGTTTTCATTCATTCAACAAGTATTTATTGAGAATTAGTTAGGTGCTAGCTAGTACACTAGGCAGTGTAACAATAAATACTGTCTCTTTACTCTCGGTGCTTAAGCTATTGAGAAAGACAGGATAATATTAAACAATGCTTAAGTATTATGCATATTAAGAGAGGGGAATATTCAGCTGTCATATCTACAGCTATGATTTTTCATCTTTTAGGTGAGGGAAGCCCTAGACTCCTTGCATTTGATCAATGTCATAGACCTTTTCCCCAGAAAACAATCATGCCCTTAAAATCTTGCCAATAATAATTTCAAGTTGTTTATGGGTCCTTTGAAGCCTTTCTGTGAACTCTGGGTTTAGAATTCCTACTCTAAATTAAAAATACCAAAATCAGATGAAACCAGAAGAAGCAGGAATCCTAAAGTATATGAGGGGGAAGATAGACAATGTGCTGAGGAGTAAGGGCAGCAAGAATGAAAAATAGATGTCCACAGCTTTATTTTACATGTGTTATCTCTAGCCAGCATACGTAATTAATGTTTCCTGGAACAATCCACTGTGGAGGAACCAGTGCCCCACCAAGTGAGCTTTGCCCTCCCATACAAGAACACTTTAAGAAGCTACCAACTCCTTCACCTTTACTGCAACATAATGGGTGGTAAGAGGTGCTACAAATTAAAGCTAAGCAGAATAAGGGGATGGACAGTTACTGGGATTTTGTGTGTTTGTGCTATTGTATATAGTTCTACAGAATATCAAGGAAGCCTCTGATAAAGTGATATTTGAGAAGAAAATTGTAGAAGTAGGGGAGCAAACCTTGTGGTTTTTCTAGGAGAGCCTTTAAAGCAAAGGGAGCAGCAAAAAGGAGGAGGCCAGTGGGCAGAGCAGAGTGAGCAAGGTGAGAGATTGGTGGGAAATGGGGTCAGAGAGGGAGTTGTGGTATGTGTGTCAAGTCTCCCAGGGTTGAGGTGAAAGGGTCAGGGGTAAGAGATAGAATATGAGGGGACCAGACTCTGATGGGATCATAGAATGAACACTGTTAGTAATGGGAAAACTCAGTGAAACCCCCTAGATGTTTTACATTGCGATGCCCACAACAGCACAGATGCTAAAGTGGAAGAGTGGTTAGCCGTATTGGATAATGGAGAGAGGCTTACTGAGCCTTATGTTAACAAGGTAAGGGTCCATGTGTATTAAATGTGGACACCTCCTCTGTGTGTGTGTGAGGGGGTGGGATTAGGGTGGAGCCCAGGAAATAAAAGAACAATGGGGAAAATACTTAGGGAGGTGATCAGAAAACAGAAGGCTAGGATGTCTTCAGTGGAAAGAGCTAGAAATAGAGGAAAGGAAAAGGATCAGGAAAGAAGGGAAGGGAGTAAGGAACCAATACATGTCAAGTGTCCACAATTTTCCAAGATCTTTACATATATATTTTAACTTTGCTTTAAAGCAATACGAGGAGATGAGTGTTATTGTACCCATCTTATAGATAAGAAAATTTCAGACCCAGGAATGTTAAGTAAATTGACAAGGAAATACACTACTAGTAATTAGAAGGAGGGGCAACTTTATTATTTTGATTTCAGTTATTACCTATTTTCTTATGTTGCTGTACTGACTCTTTCCTAATACTATATTTGGAGAAACAAACTGATGTTAAAGTTAGGAAGACAACAAAAGTACAAAGTGTTGGGCAGAGTTAGAAATTTGCTTATTGGGCTCTCTTCACTGTTGGATTACACACCTGGCCTTATAAAAAATGCCACAAGATGGCAGCATCTTACTCATTGGTTTGGGGATCACTCCGGTTCCATGGACAACTGTTTCAATAAAAATATTGAATAAAAAATATCAGTTATAGTCTGTGTTTAGAAACTGACCCATCTTGCTCAGAAATAGTTGTTGAGAAATAGAGTAAAACCTCATAAGTTAAACAGGATAAAAGAAATGATTTCCAATGCTGTGTGAGAGTTATGGGAAATGGTAGAACGTAGTGGTCAAATTTCTGCTTGGGACGTCAGAGAAATATGTGTTAAAATTCTAGCTTTGACACTTATCTACATGGTATTGTGCAAACAAAAATCTTTCTAGGGGTGCCTGCGTGGCTTAGTCAGTTAAGCAGCCAAACCTTGCTTTCAGCTCAGGTCATGATCTCATGGATCGTGAGTTCACACCCCTCATGGGACATGCTGACAGTCTAGAGCCCACTTGGGATTCTCTCCCTCTGCCCCTCCCCAGTTCACACACACACTCTCTCTCAAAATAAACATTAAAAAATATCTTTCTAAATTTATTTCTTCATTTGTAAAATTTTTACCCCTTAAATTTTTTGTGAATCTTAAATAGCACATAAAAACCTCTTGGTGCATACTTGACACTTAGCACTTAACATATAGTAGCCATTATTTATTTATTTATATAATATTTATTGTTTTTCTCTATCTTTCTAATGTTGGAACTATAAGATACCTTAAAAATATGTAGTCTTTTTAAAAAATTTTAGAGAGTACGAGTGGGGAAGAGGGGCAGAGAGAGAGAGAATCTTAAGCAGGCTCCATACTGAGCTTGATCCCATGACTCTGAGATCATGACCTGAGCCAAAATGAAGAGTTAGACACTCAACCAACTGAGCCACCCACCCAGTCTTGAAACCACCATAGAAACATAAAGATTAATGGAAATCAAGATGGACACACTAGTGTTTCAGCAAGGCTTGACTTAAAACAACAATTTTTCTCTTTCTCATTATTGAAGCACCCCCCACCCCTTCCCTTCATTTGTTTTTCTGTAGAATCCTCTGTTCCAGGAACTTGGTGTTGATATTGACATCTTGCTGACTTCAGTGTATACTTAGGAATGAGGCTGGGATGGCGGGTGCCAGCGCTAGTCATGAAACCACCTTGAAGACATAACGGCACAGCATGTACCAGATTCCACCCAGATCCTGTATTTTCCTATTAAACCCTCAGCCTTTTACCACAGGTGAGCTTGCAGTCTTGAAGGCATTAGCCTGCTGCAGCCTCATTTGCCTGACAAAGCAATAAACTGTTTTCCTTTTTTATGCTGAAACTCTGTCTTTGTGTTTCATATTTCAGTTCCAGAGCACAGAGGTTGGTTTATGACAACAGTCTAATGGTTCTCAACCTTGAATGCGTATTGGAATCATCTGGAGAACTTTAAAAAATATGCTGTCTATAAGCTAGAGGCATCACATTTCCTGATTTCAAAATATATTTAAAGGGTACGGTAATTAAAATAATATGGTATTGACATAGAGACAGATAAATAGGCCAATGGAACAGAATAGAGAGCCAGAAGTAAACTCATGGATATACTATCAGCTGATCTCTGGCAAGGGTGCTGAGATCATACAATGTGGAAAGGACAGTCTATTCAACACATGTTATTGGAAAACTGGATATCCACAGGCAAAAGAATGAAATTGTATCCTTATCTTGTACTATAGACAACAATAACTCAAAATGGAGTAAAGACTTAGATGTAGGACCTGAAACAGTGAAACTTCTTGAAGAAAACATACAGGAAAAGCTTCTTGACATTGGTCTTGGCAATGATTTCTTGGGTATGACACCAAAAACATAGGCAACAAAAGCAAATATAGATGAGTGAGATCATAACAAATTAAACAGCGTGTGCATAGTAAAGGAAACAATCAAAACTTAAAGGCAAAGTACAGAACAGGAGAAAATATTTGCAAATCATTTATCTAATAGGGGGTTAACATCCAAAATACATAAGGAACTCTTCAAACTTGATAGCAAGAAAAACAAGTAGCCCAATTAAAAAGTGGGCAACATACTTGAAAAGATGTTTCTCCAAAGAAGACATACAAATGGCCACCAGGTACAGAAAAAGTGCTCAACATCACTAATCATAAGGGAAATGCAAATCAAAACCACAATATTACCTCACACTTGTTAGGATGTCTATTACAAAAACAAACAGAAGAAAGGTAAGTATTCGTGAAGCTGATGAAAAATTGAAGACTTGTACATTGTTGGTGGAAATGTAAAATGATTCAGCTACTGTGGAAAATAGTATGGAGGTTCCTCAAAAAATAAAAATAGGACTACCATATGATCCACAAATTCCATTTCTGGTATATATCCAAAAGAATTGAAATCAAAATTCTCAAAAAGATATTTGCACTCCCACATTCATTGCAGCATTATTCACAATAGCCAAATGTCCATCAGCAGATGAATGGATAAAGAAAATGGGTTTATATATCCAATGGATTATTACTCAGTTTAAAAAGGAAGGAAATCCTATTTCTGACAACATGGATGAACATGGAGGACATTATAAGTGAAATAAGCAAGTCTCAGAAGGGCAAATACTGTATCCTTTCCCCTTTTATAAGGTACCTAAACTAGTCAAACGATTGGAAGCAAAGAAGAGAATGGTGGTTGCCAGAGGCTGGGGGAGAGGGAAATGGGGAGTTGCTGTCAATTGGTATAAGGTTTCAGTTATGCTAAATGAATAAATTCTATTAATCTGTTGTACAACATATTGCATAGTTAATAGAACGGTATTGTGCATTTAAAAATGTTAAGGGGGCGCCTGGATGGCTTAGTCGGTTAAGCGTCCGACTTTCGCTTAGGTCATGATCTCGCGGTTCGTGGGTTCGGGCCCCGCGTCGGGCTCTGTGCTGACTGCCAGCTCAGAGCCTGGAGCCTGTTTCAGTCTGTGACTCCCTCTCTGTCTGACCCTCCCCTGCTCACGCTGTCTCTCTCTCTCTCCTAGAAATAAATAAAACATTAAAAAAAAAATGTTAAGAGGGTAGACCTCATGTTAAGTATTTTTATCACACACCAAAATGAGACACTAACTTTTCTAGGTGATGGATGTGTTGATTACCTTGATTGTGGTGATAATGTCATGGTTATATGTATATGGTCAAACTCATCAAATTGTATGTAATAAGTATGTGAATAATTATATCTCGACAAAGGTTTTTGTTTTTGTTTTTTTTTAAAGTCTGCTGGCTGGAGTTCCAGCACCAGAAATTCCGATTTAGTTGGTCTGGGGTGCGGTATGGTCATTAGAAGTTTTAAAAGCTTTCTAGATGATTCCACATCTCTAGACCAATACCCTCACTGTAAAGATGGGAAGGAGAGTCCTGAAAAAGAAGTAACTTGCGTGTTGAAATGAGATCAAGAACTCAAACCAAGGTCTCCTGACTCCGACGTGGGTTCTCTCTAGCACATAACACTGCTTCAGACTCACTTCCTGGGCTTCCGTACAAACACTGCCCTAAATTGTCTCATGTCATATTTCCTGAACACATTGGGTCCACCCCTGTGTCAAATCCACAGCAATACAAGCTGCCATTGGAGTGCTTATTGTGTGCTAAACACTGAACAAGCCAGATTCTACATGTTATCTGTAATCCATACAGCAAGCTTTCAAGGAAGGCATGAGCATCCTCACTGGAAGAGGAGGAGGCTGATGTTCAGAGACTTGAAGAAACTAGCTGAGGTCATAGCTAGTGAAGAAAAGCCAGGATTTGATGCAGATCAACTGGGCTTCAAATCTCTTTCACTACACTCCCTGCCACCTGTCCCCCTACCACCTTACCTTCCTGGGTTATTTCTTCCTCAAGAACCAGCTCTAGTTTCATTCCCTCCATAAAAGCTCTTCCACTGGAGACCACAGAGATCTTTATATTTATACAGCATTCATGACACTAATCACCCAGATTAGCTATTTGGCAGGGTCTACCTCACATGGTAATTTCTTGTGTCATGTATATGATCTGTCTCCTTCTCCAGAAAGCTGAGAAGGAGAGGGACTTTCCTCTATGTTTCTGTCCTGGTCCTGCAGCTGTGTCAAGTTATAGCGACTGCAAGATCATAATAGTATTTAGTCTTTTTTGAGACTCTTCCACTGGGAGTATCTGCAGAAGGGAAACACCTATAGGCCCAAGTGGAGTTGAAAATTTGAATAGAGAAAGAATGGAGTTTTCCTCAGGCTTGGATTTATAGCAACATTTACAAGTAAGCCTCTAGGTGTCAGTAGAAAGCCTGGTTTTACAAGTGTGAGAGTCAAATGAAATCAAAATCTCAGGCTAGAAGTTTTTCTCATTGCAACCAGGAAGCTAAAGCTAGAATTCCCTCTACAACATAACAACACCAAAACAACATTCCTCTCAGCCCAAGGGTCAGTAATGAGGCAGCCTCTTCTAGACCAATACCCTCTTCTAGACCAGCAAGAATGCTGTTCTTGGTTTTACGTGAAATTCTGCTTCCTTATAACTTCCACCAACTGTCCAAGGAAATTAGGTGGCAACAGCCCATGCACCTGGACCTATGCATGTAGAAGGACTGTTACAGCTGAGTCAGGCCTTCTACTAAGGTTGATTAGGATGTTGCTGGCACCATTGGAGGCCTTGCTGCTGTGGGTGGAGCATTGTCCACCCTCAGAGCATCAGGGAAGGAGGCAAGAGAGCAATACACCTCTGGTAGGTTACTATTCTCAACCAGGTTGCTATCCTCTCTGCTAGACCCAGAGACGGAGAGAGTGACTCTTTTCAGCAGAGTCCAAAGACTCGGAGAGACAGAAAAGCCCCCTTTTCACTCTGGTTTTCCCAAGGGCTCTTCCCAGTAGCCTGGTCTTTGCTTAGTCAAACCTATTCTCTCTTCTCAAAAAATAGAGATTTTCACTGTACTTTCTGGTCGTAGCTGTATTCCTGAGAAATATATAGAACAAATCCAGTGTCTCATCTTCTAAGCATCTGAAGACCAAGATTAAGGCAGCCAACCAGCCACACATCCATCTATCCACCCATCTATTCATCTGTTCAACACATCTTTACTGGGACCTTACTATGTGCTGGGTACTGACTGAGTCTCCTAGTAGGCAGTTAATAAGTAGCAAATGGTATTATTAAAAGCCTGATGATTAAGTCAGTCACAGGTAAACCCACTCTTATGTGGTGGATTTTTGAAAAAGGAATGGAAAGATAATGGACCTAGCACTTACTGAATATGAGCAGGCTGCCGTGGTGTTAACTGCTTGCTTTACAATGTGTTATATTTTTGGAGACCTCCCACCATCTTCTGAGGTGGGTTACCTACATTTCCATTTTAAACAGGAGGAAGCTAAGGCTTAGAAAGCTTAAGTAACTTGACTAAGGCACTACAACTAGTAAGTGATGGGCTGGAGTCTGAATACAGAATTCTGACTACAAAGCTGCCACTGTGGGCATCACACAGGAATCCTTAGGATAGCTGAAGCAACACCATGGTTGCTTCAGGCCATGTGTCTGAAATGAACACTTTTATTTTATCTTTTTATTTTTTAAGTAATCTCTATGCCCAATGCAGGGCATGAAATCATGATCTTGAGATCAAGAGTCTGATGCTCTAGAGACTGAGCCAGCCAGGCACCCCTGAACACTGTTTTAAATTAAATTAAGTTTTCTTTTCAAGCTTTCAAATAAACCCCTCATTCTCTCTGTTGTATTTTTTAAATTAAGTTTACAAAGTGACTGCTTTGTTATTATTTTCTATAGAAGTCAAATTTCCTGTCAATACTTTTCCATTATAAACTTGGACACATGCTAAAGCATACGAAAATAAATAGCAGTAATTTGGGCATTCATCAGTTTTCCCTCTAGAATTAGTTCTTTGATTATACTTCTTTTAATGGATAAATCACTGTGATAATATCAAAGAAAATTTTCAAGAAAATAAAAAAACATTACCCCAAATCTCATATCCTAATACAACTTACTTCCATTCTAATTCATACCCATGTGTATATACATATATTTTAATTATAAATCCTTAATAAATCTAGGCTATTATAGCTTCAGATGTTTTATATTTTGATTTTTTTTCACCCAACTTTACTTAGGATCATTTACCCATGTGTCTATGTAGTTTTCCTAATGATCCCATTTTCCCATTAAAAGAATTCTTTTTAATGTTTTATTTATTTTTGAGAGAGACAGAGACAGAGTGAGCAGGGGAGGGTCAGAGAGAGAAGGAGACACAGAATCCTAAGACAGGCTTGAGGCTCTGAGCTGTCAGCACAGAGTCCTACGTGGGGCTCAAATTCACGAACCATGAGATCATGACCTGAGCCGAAGTCAGACACTCAACCGACTGAGCCACCCAGGCGCCCCAGTTTTAAGGCCTTTGAAAATGAAGTTCAGGGA